ATCCCGGGCCATACTGACACAATTCCACCATTTCTTGGCCCAAACAGACCCCTCTTTTCGAAACAATCTCTGGGGGGTACTTTTCTGCGCCTCGTCCTGGCGGAGAATTTTCCTTGAATTGGGACACTGCACCCTGATGGAACGAGGCGGGGACTTGACCTTTTTCCCAGAATGCCTTGGAAAACACACTGCAGCGTTCGATAAGCCTCATTTTGAGGCCTCCCTTGAGTGTAACACTGGTGTGTTCAGGGAATCTAAACGAACGCATCCATTGCTGCTCAGTACACCTGTCATTCGCACTAAGACTTATGGATATCGTTCATTCAAGTATGCATCACCATCGCTGTGGAACTCTCTCCCACACCATATCAGAACTGTCAAAAATGAAAACGAATTTAAGTCACTACTTAAAACTTACCTGTTTCATTAATTGCTTTATTTCATAATACTACCGTGAAGCGCATCGAGATGTGCTATGTGATGCGCTATATAAGAAATGTGTTATTATTATTATTATCGGATTAATAATCTGGATGCACGATCTGATTTATTTGATTCTACGCTGTATCGAGTGTTCGAGTATCGTGACCAACAGAGACGGCCAGAGAGCAATGATAGGACCAATCATAGAGGTAGAATCACATGGGTCAATAAAGCAATGTCGATCATGCTGTATATAGTATCAACCGCACGCGAATGATTCACGTAACTGAAGTTGCTAAAGGGAGAGGAATGAACGTCCTGTTCAGGTGGACAGACGGGCGGATTACTATACAGCTCGGGAGAATTATTATTTTGGAGTAGTAATCCGCCCAGGTGAATTAGTTCGGCAACAAATTTTGTTGGTCACGTCCTCGGTATGCTTCCGTAGTAATCTGTTGTTTATTTACTGACACCAAAACCCGTGTAAATGGGTGAAGCTAACAAGCGTTTAGGTCACTGACAAAGATTCATATCCCTAAACATGCCCCGGATGTATTCCACTTAAACGGCTATAGTTCTACGCGCGAGCTCATTAATGTTTTGTGGTCGCCCAGGTTAATTACAATAAGAGGTGCCATAATCTGGAGTGTTTAAAAAAAATAATATATATCGATCACGAAATAGGGGCTTGTGGCTTCTAAAACTAGGATTATTTCGTTCACAAAAGCCACATGATTTGGGCCTATTTTGCAGAGGCGGGTGGCTACAATATTCAGACCTGAGCGCATAGTTTTGCTACGATTTGGGGGTGTTTTCTTACCATAATCTTGAATTTCTTGTGAAAAACGAGAGGCCAACCTCTTCCTGAGTCTCACCAGGCAGTGTTATTTCTCTCCGGCTTTGCACTGTATTCTATGGGTGCGCATTCATTTTATTTTATTTTGTTTCCATAACCAACAGCGAAGAAATCGCCATTTACAGCCATTTTTTTTTAGTGTAGTGCAACCCCATGTGTACGCAAAATGAACATTATATCAGCACACAAAATGAAACTGACCGATGACGTCAAAGGAATCGTCAAGTCAGGGAACCAGACTACAACACACAGCGCGCCAACGTGCGCGTTTGAAAGGGAATACGGGCGACTCACAATAGCGCACAACCAAGAGTTTGAAACACATTGGCCAATCATAACGCGCTAAATTTGCTGACCCTTTCCAAACACACCTTGGGTCGACAAATTT